CTTTTCAGTTGGCCAACATTTCTATAAATCCTTTGTTTTTTTTATTGGTCTTCACTAATATTCTAATTTTCTGATATGCTGAATTTGAGATTTTCATTTGTTGTCATTTGTAATCATCAAAATGAAACGAAATAAACATTTGAAATATATGAGTTTGTATGTAATGTATGAATATAATATATAAGTTTCACTGGAATTACTGAAATAAATCTACTTTTTCATGATATTCTAATTTTATGACCAGCACCTGTATGTTCCAAAAATGTGTACCTATGGCCATGAACGTTGGTAGTGACAGAAAGAACAAGATTGCGGATACAAGGTTAGCTGGACTCTCCCTTAGAGACAGGGTGAGAAGTTCAATTAATTGGGAGAGACTCAGAGTAGAGCCGCTGCTCCTCCACATTCAAAGGAGCCAGTTGAAGGGGTTCGGGTMTCTGGTAAGGATGCCCCCAGGATGTCTCCCTAGGGAGGTGCTTCAGGTATGTCCAACTGGGAAGACCCAGGACATGCTGAAGAGACTATGTCTCTTAGCTGGTCAGGGAACACAGGGGAGTCTTTCCAGAAGAGCTGGAAGTGGTGGCTGGGGAAAGAGACGTCTTTGCTTCCCTACATTACAAACTGCTGCTACGCAACCCAACTTTCAATAAAGCGGAAGATAATGGAAACAACCCAGTGGTTTGTTTCAAATAAAATTTGAAACACTAAAATATGATTTAAATATGAAGTAAGGCAATAATATGTACAATATTTGAAATGTGGCACARATCAATAATTTTGAGGGTTGGCGCCATTTGTTTGCTTCTAGAATGAAAAAAAGATGACATTGGATATCTTATGTTTTTTAATTAGTAGAGTGTCTGAAGATATTTTTGGTGCAGTTTGGTGCCAGTTTAGYWAATACTGACAGAACAGATGGGGAAAGTGCATGACCAGATTTTCAAAAAAAAGCTCAAATTTTGACACTTTTTGGCACTTTTTGTGGATGGCAGCTGTAAATGGCTTTATAAGTTTAATATTAGTTACCTGGATTTAATTACCGTATTTATTCGTGTATAAATACGATCTCGAGTATAATACGATCATTTTTTGAACGTACAAGCATAAAAATCTAATTAACAATAACCCATGTATAATACTATCCCCCCACTTTATGGATGATTTTTAGGGTTAAATTTCTAGTATTATACATGAATAAACAGTAAGCAATCAGTTTTTAACATTTTGGTACAAAAAAAAACTGATCTGAAGCAAAAGATCTGGCAATTATGATCAGATATTATATAGATAGTCAAAGCCATGATTTTTAGCATTAATCTTGAATTCTGACTTTATGTCCAGGAGAAATTTAGTAAGAAATGGTTTTTTTATATCTGGAAGGGATGTACTTTAAAGGGGTACCAATAAAATTGCTGGTACTTTTTATGCAGATAAACATTCAAATTCAATTCAATTCAAAATTCAAAAATACTTTATTGATCCCAGAGGGAAATTTGGTGTTGTTGTATCTCATTTAACTGAAGAATTATTGTAGATGCTGATGGCTGTGGGCAGGAAAGATCTTCTGTAACGGTCTGTATTACAGCGAATTTGAAGAAGCCTCCGACTGAAACTAACATGGTCTATCTCTTGGACTATAAACAAAGATCTATGTTCTACCAGACATCTGAGTTCCTCTGTGTTTACAGTAATTATGTTAATAAACTCCTGCAAAGTTAATATTTACAGAATGAATGGCTGTGCACGTAAGTCACAATTCTAAGGGCACTGTACAAAAATAAAACTATAAATCTAAAGAAGCCAACAGACTGTGTAGAATATATTGGTAAATGGTAAATGGTAAATGGACTGAACTTATAGAGCGCTTTATCAAGTCCCTCCGGACCATAAAGCGCTTTACACTAACAGACATTCACCC